TAATGCCACATGTGGGGTATCTCAGGGCTCAGTCTTAGGACCTTTGCTCTTTTTTATTTACATCAATAACACAGATGAAGGAATGGTCAATAAATTATATAAATTTGCTGATGACATTAAGGTCTTGGGTGTTGCTGGCTGTGAGGATGCTGCTGCTGCTTTACAGAAGGATTTATATTGTTTAGTGATTCATGTGTAAATCATATTTCTGGTTTATAGTATATCACATGTTGAGTATAATATCTGTTATCACATGTTCCATCTTTTCACAGAATTATAAATGTTTGATGTGGTACTTTTAATTTCATACTTCAGTCGATAAGCAAATCTCACCATGAAAATTGCCAATAGCATGAAATATGGGAAACTAGTAACTCTCACACTCTGGAAGAGAATGTGAATGTTGAGTATAATATCTGTTATCACATGTTCCATCTTTTCACAGAATCATAAATGTTTGATGTGGTACTTTTGAGTTCATACTTCAGTCGATAAGCAAATCTCACCATGAAAATTTCCAATAGCATGAAATATGGGAAACTAGTAACTCTCACACTCTAGAAGAGAATGTGAATGTGCCTACGTGACTGATTGCACATTAGGTAGGTGCATGCATGATTAACCCTTAACATGCAGGCAGGTCAAACTGCACATGTCATAACGTTTTAGTGAGTTACATTCAAAATTTAATTAAACTACTTAATTATCAGGATATATGAACAAATTTAACATCAAACCATTGATAATAAATCAAATTTTAATATTATATAAGTTTTAAGTTCTTAATTGTATAAGGAAATATTTAAAAACATCCTCATATTTCCCTAGTGAGAGAATTTGGATATTTGTTCTTTAGCTGTCTCCTCTTCTGGATTCCCCCCCCCCCCAGAAAACTACGAAATGCAATGTAAAATATTTTCTACAATTTCATTTACAATTTGCTAATAGAATTTTCTGAGGCCAACTCCCATTAAATTTATAACCAATAGAAAGCAAAGATTTCAACTGAATCATTGCCATAGTTGTTATACCACATGGACTTACAGATAATTGACAATCTGGTTTGATATGAAGAACAATTTTCCCACGAGAACACACTGGTAAAAATAGTTGAATTTTTAACTGCTCAAGTCACGTGAATAAAGAGGCTCGAGTACTGGTACCACCGGTAATATTGCAAACCCTGAGCCAACACAGACAGATTAACTGTCCATACAGCCATTTTTATACAATGAACTTTGAATAAATATATGCTTTTTTCTCCATAGGTTATAAATTGCACACGTTACTGAATCTACACCTTAACTTCTGAGCTCAAAAAGTTTCATTACAGAACATACAAACATTTTGAAAGATTGAATCTGGTGAAAAAAAATATGTTCTCCTTTCTGAAATTTAAAAATTAAAGTTTAACTAACCTTTGGTTCTTCTAAATCACTTAAACTTTTAGGAATTTCCTTGTCTGGTCTACTCAGGGAACACAACACAGAAGCTACTTTACTCAGTAGACCATCTAAGATTGGAGCTCCCATAATGATACCCATATCACAGGTATAAATAAGCTCCTATAATCAAAATAAAATATTTCGAAACTTAAGACTTAAATTAATGCAAATATACCATGAAAAAATCCACATACTTTTTAATAGTTCCATACAGATTAAGATAGTACTTCTCCTCTATACCTTTGTTTTAGAAATTAGCAGATCTTTTGTAATGACAAAAAATATGGAGTTGTTGTACTGGTTAAAATGTGAATATTTCATCTACAGAAAAATATCACACTTTTTGATATCGCATGCGATTCAAATTTATTTTTAAGTCAAGTAATGTAAAAAAATTGTTTTCTAAGAAGATGTTATCTAGTCAGTTCTGAATTTCTTAAGCACATAGACAGATATTTAAAGTTCCACTATCACGACTAGAATTATCAAACCAAAACTCAGCATAGGGACAAAAAGCTGGCTTTAAACATTTAAACAATTTTATTAGATTAAAATAAAAAACTAAGAGAATACTAACACATCTGATAGATAGACCTAAGTGCAAGGGTTCTACTGGTTTGTTTAATATGATTTATCAACTCTTTTGATCCTGTTTGTTTTTTACTACCATGAATATTTTTATAAAGTATGGATTATTTTATCTAAATAAGAGCAGAAGAGTAAATTATGCTTACCTGGAATGTTTGGGTTTCATCACAACAAAGAAAAAGTACTTTAAATAGGGAAGCATACGAGTATATATATCTCCAGCTTATATCTACATCCTTCCAATATCCTGTGTTTAATTTTTCCCATGTAATATCCAGAAGGACTTGGGCTGTGGATGCAAGATGTGCATTTTCTGCTGTTGAACACTCTGCTTCATCTAATGAATAAATAAAATTCATCATTTCACCTAATATTTAATATGTATATAAGCCTAAAAAAAAGTACCAAGTTCACTAATTATGATAAATTTCTGATACCTGAAAATAAATTTGATTAGGTAGTACAGGTTTTTTGGCAAAGAAACTCGGACTCAAAAATATGTGAAAACAAAAAATTTGAATGCAAAGTTAGGACTGAAACACAATATTTCAGCAACTTTTCACTGGGACTATTATCAATGAACATAAAAGATTACTATAAATTGACAAATATTTTATTTGTATGTGTGTGTGTATATATATATATATATATATATATATATATAATTATATATGGCTATAATCATTATGATCAATTTCTAGTATCACTGTTTGTAACTGACATGACATTAAGAATGGATAAACTAGAGTGTATATATATCCATAAATAAAACTCAAAATCTCTCTGTTTGTTTGCTTATTTGTTTGTCCACTGCATTAACTGTGCAGATCACACTTCCCACACATGAAGATGCACAAAACGACAATTTTTCATTGATATACATGTCTATTGTCTGCTAGCCAAACCGGTAATTTTATCTTCAACATGCTTTACATGGTTGTGATTCTATGCAGACTAAACATTTTCTTGGTATGTTTCAGTTAACATTTAATTTAGAATATAGCATTAGAATAGATAGGCCTATTTATTTATAGATCATTAATTATAGATCTACTAATACATTATATATATTCAACCTCAGACACAAAACAACTGTATGCAGAATTAGAATGTCGTGAAAAAAAGCAAACAGTAGGCCTAGCCTATAAAATACAATTTTGCCATCTGCCATAAAATAGACATACAAGAAAAGACTAAGGCTTAAATTATAATACTTATTGTGTACAATGAGATTAAAGTCAAGTCAGCGTAACTGGCAGAGCGCTTGCATGAGGTGAAAGATGGGTTGAACCTGGAAATTTTTTTTTTATCAGCATTAGAATAGATAAGCCTATTTAATTATTGATTATTAATTTTACATCTACTAGTAAATCATATATTTAACCTCACACACAAAAGAAATGTATGCACAATTAAAATGTTGTGTGTGAAAAAGCAAACAGTAGACCTAGCCTATAAAATAAAATTATTACTGGGGAACAACAAAGGGGAACATGTTTTCATCTCACATATCCCATAATTCCAACCAATCTCCCCTTCGAGTTCAAACACCTGCAGTTCCCAGTTAAATTAAGCTTTGCGATGTCAATCAATAAGGCACAGGGCCAGTCTCTGAAAGTATTGGGACTTGAATTGACGTTACCATATTTCTCATACGGACAACTCAACATTGGATGCTCAAGAGTGGGGAACAATAAGGGCCTATTTATCCTTGCCAGTGAAGAAAAAACAAGAAAACATTGTTCATAAGGAAGTCCTGATTAAAACAGGTTTGTAGTATATTTTCGAAAATCAAACCTAAGGTTGTTTTTATAAATTCACAAAATATTTTTTACTTATCAAAATATGGAACAGGGCAACAGAGAGAGTAGGTTTTTTTTAAAAAAAAAACCAGGCAATGCTGTTAGTATCTATATCACTTAGTCAAATATTCAAGAAATTTCCTCAATAACCCAAGCATATACTTAAAAGATGGGCAGTGAAAAATTGATTTAAAGTGCTTTCATTTTTTTCAGAATTGACAGGTCTAATACTATATCATTTTTATATTCATCTTTTATCTGGCTGAGAATACTACAGCAGTCATATTCATTGTAAGCAACTGATATGGAAGGTACTTGGTGTAGTTATCAAAGATAAACTATTTCTTGTCACCTGAATCTAGAGATAACATAATATTAAAGGCAATAAGGAACCTTTGCTCCAATAAGGCCATCCACTAAATTAAACTATACACAAACTCAAAGCCTGCCCTTATCATTCAAATATTTATCAAGCTTTCCCTTAAACTACCCTAAATAAACTGCATCTACCATATCTGATAGCAATTCCATTCAAAGTCCAGCCAACCAGTTAGAAAAATAAAGCTGTCTTAGCTGAAGATGATTCTTACATTGCCATAGTGATACCATTCTCATCATTAAATACATAAAAAGATTATGCATCAAAGCTATCAATTACCTTAACAATCAGATCCCCCTCTAACTCTTCTTTTTCAAGCAAAAACAAGTTCAGAGATCTTAATCTATCCTCGTAGGACAACTTTTCCATCCCAGGTATCTTCTTAGTAGCCCTTCTCTGATCCTTTTCTAAAGTAAGGAGCCTAAGACTAAATACAGTACTCCAGATGTGGCCTAATCATTGGCCTATACAATGACATTATATCCTCTTAAATCTTGTATTGAATATTTCTGTAGTTACAATCTAAAATCCTATTTGCCCTATCACTAGTAACAGCAAATTGCTTGGATAGTTTAAGAGACTGATCAGCCAGAAGATGAAGAGTCTGAAGTATAATTCCAAACAATAATTATAAGTTTTTGTTTTTTAATTGTTGTTTATGGTTATTTTTATTTCCTAACAATGATTTCAGGAATATAGCAAAGCAATTTCTAATTTACTGATTTATTGAATGGATATGAAACAAATGATTATGTTGCCTTATACCCTAGAACCAGCACTGCTTGTTTCTGAAATAACTGACCTTTCCAAAAGTGTGATAAACACATGACCCCACAAAAATTGCAAACATCAGCAAATTTTGTGTACATAAACCAGATTAGAAAAACCTATGTGACTTATCTAATTACACATTTAAACACAGAACTAGCTAATCTTAAGATTTCTGTACCATTAGAATTTGTCTGCATTCCTCTGATCTAATGTTTGATATGTTACACAAGTGACTATGATCAATATGTTTGAATTTGTGAATTGTGTTCCCTATGTTATTATCACCATCAACACATCTACAAGTTTGTCTGTCTGAAATTTTTAGGGGACAAAAAAGAGCTTATTAGCCCATCAAGGATGTCCCTTCCAGCTTCCAACTATAACTACCCCTTACTACTCATGTATTCTTCCAAACTTTTTCTTGAACTCATTTAAATTTTCTGTTGCGAGTTTAGAGACTGATACCTCTCTTGAAGACCATGCTGCCTTATAATACAGGTAAGGCTAAGGTGATGTTAACCAGTCAACAACTTTAAACAATAATAGCCCGTAGTAAGAACTAAAGTTAGTTTCCATGCTATTCTATGCAAAAATATACATTTACCAATTTATAAAATATTCATACCATATGACACAATACCTCTCATAAAAGGGCTGATAATTTCATGAGTCCCACTTGTAGAGCTAATAGCATATGGTGTTTTGAAACTGTTGTAATATTATTTTTTTCATACTGGAATTACACTGTTCATATATATATATATATGTATCTACGTCTTAACAGCTTTCTAGAAACTGCTCATAATATTAATTAATCTTCTATTTCTTACCTTCAGTTTCAGTTACTTGTACTGGGGTGTAAAGACCTTCAACACATTGATTTAGAAGAAACATGATGGGCTCCCCAACAACTGTTCTCTGAACATTCCCTTCTAGCATTAAATGCTTTCTGTCTGTTGGTATAAGCTGTTTCATGTGTTGCGGAAGATTCTTTTTCGCAAACATCAGGATAATTTGAAATTATTCCATCCTATATAAAACAAATTTATATACGTCTATATAATAAGAAAAATGTATATTTGTTTTAAAGCTATATACCAAGTGAGCTATTAATTGATTCATTTTTTTGGAAAACATAACTTAGTAATAAAGCAAAATATGAACGTAATACTATGAAGCATTTATTCAGTACTGAAGATGGAGTTTTGAAGATCTTGAAACATCTAATAAATGCTTCATATTATTATGTTCATGTTTTGCTTTATTATCACGTGAGCTTTGATTTATTTTCCAATACAAGTTTATACAAACGTAATGTGTATAGATTCAGTTAAACAACTTCTATCAAATACAGGACAACATTGTATATTCCAATTCTACTTCAATGTCAGAGAAAATAAACACAAAATAAAACAAACAAGCTACAATAAAATAAAGTTATAAATCGTATTTTAATTTAAAAGTTCCATCAATAAATGAATGATAAGTGTTATATCTTCTTAGCTTTGAATAAAAATTAAGGTAGATGCAAGCATGTTCAAAATCAACTCAAAAACCTGTTTTGGGCAAAACAAATAACAAACTAAGATGAATAACATGTTAAATCATTTGTCCCACAAAAGGCTTACCTAGTGCTGTTGCACATGGTAATGTGTTGTTAATTATAAGTTATTACAGCTTCAGTGAGCTGTTTAGCAACTTACTTCAGCTGAGTAAGGGATAAACAAAACAACTGCATCTCAGTGATCAAAAATTAAGTTAGTTAAAAAATTTAGTTCTGACTTTGATTATTGATATTTTATTCAGACAATCATGCTATAACTTAAAGTATAAACTATTTTTTGTCCGTCTCTATTATATAGGCAATATATAAATAAAAATCAATGGTAATGTGAACTAGCTAGGAATGTTATTACATTTACTATCACAAATTAATTTATTTTAAAAATGCAGCTTATGTTACTAAGTTTGTAAGTTGACGAGAAAAGCAATGTATTAGTAGTAATACTAATTACTATTCCAACAATAAAAACTATAAGTGCCTATAATTATAAAGTATAATTTAATTTTAAATCGCATTTTGACATAAATCCTCATAAAACAATTACAAATCAGTTTCATATAAATAAATATTCAATTAAAAGTTTACAAGTAAGTTTTATGCTATAATTATAGCAAGACATCTAAATTATAGGTTTTCTTTCTCCCAAGTATAATTTTATAAGATAAGTGTACATGTTCATTTGAATTTGAAATCTGTTTTTTCGGCCATCATACTCACAACCAGTGTGCCAACGTGAATGGCCGGTGTAAATGTATACAGTAATAAAATAAAAAATATACTGGGCATAATCTTAACCCTCGTCATTTAAGTAAAATGACTTGGAGTTGACCAAATTATAAGTCGGATTAGTATGAGAAATGCAATTAAAAGTTAAAAACAACAACAACTATATTACCGAAAAATTAAATAACACTTAGTTGGCCTACGAACGAGAACTCCCGAGTAGGTGTGATGCAATTGGGCTGTATTTAGATTTAAAAAACAAACATTAATTTTATGGAAAGCAAAATAAAGAATAAAATAAACGTTAATATATATATATTATTGTATATTTCTAAAATATCAATAAAAACATTGTCTTATTATGAGAAAGAACAAAGACCTGTCTTCAAAGTCGTTTACCTACTAGGAGACGTAAAATCTAGAAGTTTTAAGCTGTAATGGAAATAAAAAATTCTAAAAAGTTACTTGCACTTTCGAAGCCATCTTCAAATTTCCATATGTCAAAGACAAACAACAACGTTAAAGAAGAAAGAAATGTTAATATATTTTAGGCACTAGTTTTTAACCTTGTTTTTATTTTTTATAGAGGTTTCTTCTAACAAATATGACTTGTTCCTTTTTAAAATCTACTTTGAGATAATTTTGTTGTTTTAGGTTAGAAATTACCCAAATAAGTCCCACAATTTCTTGTGAATCTAATATGAGATAAAACAATTCTCAAATTAATTTTCAAGAATTATTTATTATTAAGCAAAATTTACACAATAAGCTATCTATGCTGTGTCCACCACGTGTATCAAAACCTGGTTTTTAGCGTTTTAAGCGTGCATACTTATCACTGAGTCTATTGTTTCTGGGTGCTTTATAATCTCTCGGCGTTTATACCGTATTTTTTAGGTTGTATGATGTAATTAAAAAAATACGTTCTGGTACATGTGAAAAATCGATGGATTTGTGATAAAGTCATAATGTGGAAAATAAACTGAAAAGTAAAAAATAAATAAATAAGCGTTTGATATGATTGTCATAAATATATATAAAAGCCATGAACTTTAGCGTGATACTACTTTTTTCGATGATTAAAATCGAATATATATATAAAAGCCAGCTATGATTTTGTGGGTGAGAAACGCTCATATTATCAGTCATTTTTAATTTAAACATGCACCATTCTTATTGATATTTTGAGAGTGTACTTGAAAAACATCTTTAGCTTCTCCATGTGTTATTGCTTTTCTTTTATGGTGAAGGGGGAGTTTGGTGAACAAAAGCTCGCTAAAAGCTCGCTTCCAAGGTTTTTTACAAAACTTCAACCCATAACTCTTTTTTATATTTTATATATATTGATTTGTTTCTTCTAAATTTAACAGTTTTAGTTTTCTCTTACTGTGGCTCTTCTGTCTCAATAGGCACTTCCCCGTTTAGGTTTTTCTTAATTAAAGAAAAGGATTTTAAATTGCACCAGTGTTTCATAGTTTCTATTTTTCGTGGATAATACAAAAAATTGCACAAATGGTAATTTCCAACCACTGTGTCAATATCTAACTTTATGAGATTGAACAAAATAAACTATAAAAAGTTCAGTATATCTTACATTTTTTAAGCTAAATGTAAAGTAAATCGTTTACTAACGATTTTTTTTTCACATGTTTTCGGATGATTCTGAAATTTCATGAAAACAACCAAAGAAATAAAGAGTGAAAATGACGAAGATACTAAGTCTTGTAAAAAAAATCACAGGAATATCAGATGTTTTAAAAGCCAGCAAGAATAAATGCGACTGCTTTTTGCGCTTTCTGTAATACTGTTATCGTATTTGGATGCAAAAATTATCTTAATAAAAATTTATATATATATATATATCAAACGTTAAAAAAACAACGGGAAAATTATTTTAAAGAGCACAGAAAAGACAAAAACCATGTTGCATATTGAATTTGGTATCATGTGTACATGAAAGCCATGAACCCAAAGTGATTCAATCTGAAGCACATATCTGACATTCATGGTGGAAAATAATATTTCATATAATTGTAGAAATGTAGTAAGCCTTTGTTTTGTTGTAGTTATTTATCGAGTGTCGCCTCTTGGTACAATTATCATTCAGGGTTTTCATCTTTTTCAACTACTGTAAGCTCCATTGGCTCTCGATATAAACCTAGAGCATTTTACCCGTTAACCTGTTCTACCATGACAACACCACAAGATGTGAGACCTTGCAGGAGAGTAACACAATAGCCCAGATTTTTCAATGTACTAATAGTTACAGTATTAAAATATTCATTCAGCTTTAAGTACTGGCGTTTTGTTTTAAAGCCTACAGTAACACATAATTAACACAAGATAACAATAACGATGGTAAATATTTCAATAATTATCACTAGCCATAATACTGAAGTTAGATATTAAGTTTTTTATACTTTTATACAAGTGGTAATTTCTGGAAAAGTTTATACTGTTACTAAGTACTACTTGTAAAATCCCTTGTCGATTTCGTGTATGGGCGAACTTCACTCCTGCCTCCCTAATCATGTTAAATCTTATGTAACACCCAAAGATTTGAATCTCAGTAGTTTCATAACTATAAAATAACATATTTCAGGAATGCACAAAAATGCTTTTCAGAACTTTCTTCCCAACAGCGATACGGAATTCGAGCAAAATTTCCTTTAAACATTTAACATTTCCTTGATTCGAAATGCTCGAATCAGCAATAGCTGGATTATCATGATAGTTGTGTAGTGTTATGAGTTTGTAGTATCATAAATAGCAGGTTTCATTAACCTGACAATTTTTCTTCTAAACTTCGGGTTTTTTATGACTTGCAATGTCTATTTTTTCTGACGCATCACTGGTTGCGAGTTTTAAAATGGATTTAAAATGGCTTAGGCATGCATGCTAATAGCCCAGTATTTCCCAATTCGAACTTTTGGGTCAAGTTTTCTCACAGTGTATTACAGTTTAGTATGTGCTGCCCAATAATCTTGGATTTGGTAGTCGAATGAACTGTTACTTGTTCAGAGATTGTGGTATCGAAATACCCCATCAGTTTCCTCTTCCTGTAAAATTATATTTATTTTGAATTTATTATTAGTTCTGAATACGTATCAGTTTAGCATAAAACCGTTAAGGTTTCTCAGAACTAGTGTTGCATTGTGGCTTTGTATTTCCCTATTAGATGTCGCCACCTCTGCCTGTCAAAATGCTGTAGCTGGTTGCTGGTCGATTGGTTGATGTCTGTAAGATTCAGTCAAAGAATCTCGTGAGAAAGTGACTGGTCACATGGTGACACAATCAAAGGCAAAGGAACCGAGTATTTTTGCAAGCTGGAAACCTTGTTTTTAATTAATTCTTTTGGTTTCTAATTGTATGTGATTCTCCAGGAATTCGTCCCCAGCGAAGAAAACGCGAGTCCTATACACTGATGTAGTAGAGACGATCATGGACTTGCCTACGTAAAAGACATACAATAGTTTTGTTTTTGTATTAATAAAGAGTGTTCGTAGAGTCTTATACTTTGTATTCAGTCCAGTTATTTCTAGATCTAAGCTCAGTCGCCATACATTCAGCACTGTCCCACAGTATTGTATCTCGTGGAATTTCCTATTTAGCGGACTTATCCGATATGAGGCTTAAGTTAATTCAGTTTATCTGAAGATATCACAACCTAATCCATTGGTATTAGCAGTAGTTGTCGTTATAGAGAGGTCCCTGCATCTTATTAGTAGGGCAGGGTTCAAGGTTTGTCTCAAACTAATAGAAACTTATGTCACAACCAACCTAGATCATTCAGCGCAATAAATATATATATATACGCTCCCCAGTGGCACAGCGGCATGTCTGCGGACTTACAACGCTAGAAACCTGGTTTCGATTCTTGTGGTGGGCAGAGTATAGATATCCCGTTATGTAACTTTGTGCTTAATTACAACCAAACAAACAAACAGATTTGATAAAATTTGAAACAGCTTTGTTTAGTAGGTTTACGTTTTGTTGTCACCAAAACGATCTTTCTACTATCCTACTATTTGGTCGTGTAAGATTTGATTGATTGTTTCGGATACTTGCGCATAGCTACAGAAAAAGCTATCCGCGTTACTGTGTGAGATAAATATAATTAATAATAAAATGACTTTGGATTGATTCAGCTGTGACTTCGTTTCAGAAGATGTTTGTGTGGATAGAATTTCGCGCAAAGTTACTCGAAGGCTATCTCTGAAGCCGTTCCTAATTTAGCAGTTTGTTTGTGAAGCACAAAGTTACAGAAAGGGCTATCTGTGCTATGCCCACTACGGGTATCGAAAACCAATTTCTAGCGTTGTAAGTCCGCAGACATACAGCTGTGCCACTGGGGGCCTTTAGCAGTGATAGACTAGTGGGAAAGCAGCTAATCAACACCACTCACTCTCGGGCTACTCTTTTACAAACGAATAGTGGGATTATACAGCACATTATAACGCCCTCGGCTGGGAAGGCGAGCATGTTCGGTGACGGGGATTCGAACCCGCGACTCGCACATTGCGAGGAAAGCGCCCTAACCACTAGGCCATGCCAAGTACGTTTAAAGGATGAATAGCGTAAACTTCTAAAAGGCGTAAGATTTGCGTATTACCGCACCGTTAAAGTGTTTATAAACAGATATTTCGACACGAAAGAAAAGATAATATAAAGTGAAATCAGTATTACTGTTTCGAGGTTTTGCAAGTAATACTCTGTAAAGAAATGACAAAGTTAGAAGTAAAAACATAGAGGGTTAATCGCAGTTTGTAAGAACGATTTACATATACGATTACAATGGAGTGCTATAGCAGGCAGGAGTTACTGTGCCACGGGCGACATTGTTTAATACTTATACACTTGGTTCACGTATAATTATCAACCATTCGACAGTGCAATGAGCCACTGTCATAATTATAGATAGAGGAATGGATATACACGTGGAAAGCTTCTCCAAAGAAAAATATTCATATAGCGAGAGTGTTAAATGACGTTCAACCAAAGGACACAACACTTTGAAGAAGGGAGCCTTCATTGTTTTCAATGGAAACAGAAAAGCTAGTACATCAGAGCGTTTAGGAGAACAATTGGTTCTGAAACCACAACCAAAGATGATCAAGAACAAACTGTATCAACAAAGTGTATAACATGGC